ACAAAACCTCTGGTTACTTCTGAATTAAAGAAGGTTGCAGGGCAAGGCTGGAGGCAGGAGAGATGTCAGGAGCTGATCGACCACTTTATCATTCCTCCTATCTGACTTCTGTTACAGCAATGTCACGAGACATCTAGAGCCTCCCAGAGAGATGAAGCCCTACAAAACAAGAGGCTTTTGCAATGGTCCCTGTGGCACAGCTTTAACTCTTAACCAATTTGACAACATTGCTCCAGCACCGCGTGCTGCTTTGAAGCTCCTTTTTTTGTGTGGCAGCACTCCTCGTCAGAATGCAAAGGCTTGCTGTAAAGCCAGCAAACAAAATAATACCAAGACAAAGGTACCTCTTCAAAATGCTGGATTTTATGCCTGCAGGGGCAATGGGGGATGGAGGTTTCTTACAGAAATGCAAGTGCAGGGTGACCCCATCATGAGGACAGCTCATCAGATCAAGGGATCTTCACCATTAAACATATGAGATCATTTCATTTTACAAGACACTGCTGGGCTTCACTGGGAGAGGAGTGGGAGAGGAAATTTCCCAGCGCTGTACTGCGGTGCGATTTGGCTTGCACTGCCCCCTTCGGTTACGTAGCCCTGCAGCTCACATGCTAATAAAGATCCCTTTCCACTTCAATAGCTATGCACATAAAGAAATGCTCGGCATGGTGCGTGCGTGAACTCAATGGGAAAGGGAGCTGGAACGTAGCCATGTTGAGAACAGAGTGCTGCCTACCAGGCGAGCCCCATCAATAATTAAGATGTCAGAGGCACAGGGAGGTGTGTGAATAAGAGCTGTCGAAAGGAGTGATTGGGATCTGCGTGGATTCCGTGATGGATAGGCTCGCTTGCCATCAGACACAATTGCAATACACCCAAACAGAAGAGGAACAGGGCGCTGAAATTCAAAGGGGCTGGGGCAGGCTGTTTGATGGGCAGGACGTCGTTGCCTCCATGGAGGGGAGTATCGCAGCTCAGGTATCAAGCAGGTGTGGGCACACTACCCTGTTTCTGGTCAATGGAGCAAGAGAACATACTCACAGCACATGGCTGATCCCTGGTAACGTTCGGTGGCACATACTGCAGGCTCGAGGTGAAGGTAATGCCACCTCCTCGAGGAAAGTCAACTTGAGAAAAGTAATCTCCTGCCCACAGTGGTCACTGGGCATTGAGGGCTGTGTGCACATAACACTTGTTTGTGCAATAACTCCACTCTTTGGATTAGTAACATCCTCCCGCTCTCTATTCCTGCATCCTTAAATCCAGCAGAGGATGCAGTTGGCTGACAGCAGGATGCTCCTTGCTCCCCCTTGTTCCACCGTCCATCAGACACCGACATGCTTCACCTGCACCCAAGGGTTCCCACACTCACCCTCACAGTGGTGAGCAGACACCAAACCAATGCACAGACACGGACAGACGCGAGACACCAGCAAAAGCAGAAGGGCTCAGGGCAGCTGCCCTTCAGTCACCGACAGCTCTGTGCTGCCTGATCGCTGCAGGGATCTGCCCATGCCCTGCTTGGGCAGACAGGCCTTGG